CAAGCGGTGAGGACATGGTTCCTGGCGCTGAGGAAAAGGTTTTTGGTGTTGCGTACAAAGTTTCTGGCGATGAGGACAAGGTTCCTGGCGGTGAGGACAAGGTTCCTGGCAGTAAGGACGAGGTTTCTGGCGGTGAAGACAAGGTTTCTGGCTGTGAGGACAAGGTTCCAAGCGGTGAGGACAAGGTTCCTGATGCTGAGGAAAAGGTTTTTGACGTTGAGTACAAAGTTCCTGGCGGTGAGAACAAGGCTCCTGGCGGTGAGGACAATGTTCCAAGCGGTGAGGACAAGGTTCCAGGCGCTGAGGAAAAGGTTTTTGGCGTTGAGTACAAAGTTCCTGGCGGTGAGGACAAGGTTCCTGGCAGTGAGGACAAGGTTCCTGACGGTGAGGACAAGGTTCCTAGCGGTGAGGACAAGGTTCCTGGCGGTGAGGACAAGGTTCCTGGCAGTAAGGACAAGGTTCCTGGCGGTTAGGAGAAGGTTGCTGGCGCTGAGGACAAGATTCCTGGCGGATAGGCCAACGTTGCTGGCGGTGAGGAGAAGGGTCCTGGCGGTGAGGACAAGGCTCCTGTCGGTTAGGACAGGATTCCTGGCGGTGAGGGCCTGGTTCCTGGCGGTGAGGACAAGATTTCCTGGCGTTGAGGACAAGTTTCTGGCGGTGAGGACAAGGTTCCCAACGGTGAAGACAAGGTTCCTAGCGCTGAGGAAAAGGTTATTGACGTTGAGTACAAAGTTTATGGCGGTGAGGACAAGGTTCGTGGCAGTGAGGACAAGGTTCCAAGCCGTGAGGACAAGGTTCCTGGCTGTGCGGACAAGGTTCCTGGCGCTGAGGAAAAGATTTTTGGCGTTGGGTACAAAGTTCCTGGCGGTGAGGACAAGGTTCCTGGCGGTGAGGACAAAGTTACAAGAGGGGAGGACAAGGTTCCTGCGGTTGAGGAAAAGGTTTTTGGCGTTGAGTACAAAGTTCCTGGCGGTGAGGACAAGGTTCCTGGCGGTGAAGACAAGGTTCCTGGCAGTGAAGACAAGGTTCCTGGCGGTGAGGACAAGGTTCCAAGCGGTGAGGACAAGGTTTCTGGCGGTGAGGACAAGGTTCCTGTCGGTTAGGACAAGGTTGCTCGCGTTGAGGGCCGGTTTCCTGGCGGTGAGGACGAGATTTCCTGGCGTTGAGGACAAGTTTCTGGCGGTGAGGACAAGGTTCCAAACGGTGAAGACAAGGTTCCTAGCGCTGAGGAAAAGGTTTTTGGCGTTGAGTACAAAGTTCCTGGCGGTGAGGACAAGGTTCCTGGCAGTGACGACAAGGTTCCAAGCCGTGAGGACAAGGTTCATGGCGTTGAGGAAAAGGTTCCTGGCGCTGAGGAAAAGATTTTCGGCGTTGGGTACAAGTTTCCTGACGGTGAGGACAAGGTTCCTGGCAGTGAGGACAAGGTTTCAAGCCGGAGGACAAGGTTCCTGGCGGTGAGGACAAGTTTCCTGGCGCTGAGGAAAAGGTTTTTGGCGTTGACTACAAAGTTCCTGGCGGTGAGGAAAAGGTTCCTGGCGGTGAGGACAAGGTTCCTGGCAGTGAAGACAAGGTTCCTGGCGGTGAGGACATGGTTTCAAGCGGGGAGGACAAGGTTCCTGGCCGTGAGGACAAGGTTCCTGGCGCTGACGAAAAGGTTTTTGGCGTTGAGTACAAAGTTCCTGGCGGTGAGGACAAGTTTCCAAGCGGTGAGGACAAGGTTCCTGGCGGTGAGGACAAGGTTCCAAGCGGGCAGGACAAGGTTCCTGGCGCTGAGGAAAAGGTTTTTGGCGGTGAGCACAAAGTTCCTGGCGGTGAGGACAAGGTTCCTGGCGGTGAGGACAAGGTTCCTGGCGGTGAGGACAAGGTTCCTGCCGGTGAGGACAAGGTTCCTGCCGGTGAGGACGAGGTTCCTGCCGGTGATGACGAGGTTCCTGGCTGTGAGGACGAGGTTCCTGGAGGTGAGGACAAGCTTTCTGGCGGTGAGGACAAGGTTACTGGCAGTGAGGACAAGTTTCCTGCCGGTGAGGATAAGGTTCCTGGCGGTGAGGACAAGGTTCCTGGCGGTGAGGACAAGGTTCCTGGCGGTGAGGACAAGGTTCCTGGCGGTGAGGACAAGGTTCCTGCCGGTGAGGACAAGGTTCCTGGCGGTGTGGACAAGGTTTCTGCTGGTGAGGACAAGGTTCCTGGCGGTGAGGACAAGGTTCCAGGCTGTGACCACAAGGTTCCTGGCGGTGAGGACAAGGTTCCTGGCGGTGAGGACAAGGTTCCTGGCGGTGAGGACAAGGTTCCTGCCGGTGAGGACAAGGTTCCTGGCGGGGAGGACAAGGTTACTGGCGGTGAGGACAAGGTTCCTGGCTGTGAGGACGAGGTTCCTGGCGGTCAGGGCAAGGTTCCTGCAGGTGAGGCCAAAATTCCTGGCGGTGAGGACAAGGTTGCTGGCGGTGAGGACAAGCTTCCTGGCGGTGAGGACAAGGTTCCTGGCGGTGAGGACAAGGTTCCTGGCGGTGAGGACAAGGTTCCTGGCGGTGAGGACAAGGTTCACGGCGGTGAGGACAAGGTTCCTGGCGGTGAGGACAAGGTTCCTGGCGGTGAGGACAAGGTTCTTGGCGGTGAGGACAAGGTTCCTAGCGGTGACGACAAGGTTCCTGGCGGTGAGGACAAGGTTTCTGACGGTGAGGACAGGGTTTCTGACGGTGAGGACAAGCTTTCTGGCTTTGAGAACAAGGTTCCTGGCGGTGAGGACAAGGCTCCTGGCTGTAAAGACAATGTTACTGGCGGTGAGGACAATGTTCCTGGCGGTGAGGACAAGGTTACTGGCGGTGAGGACAATGTTCCTGGCGGTGAGGACAAGGTTACTGGCATTGAGGACAAGCTTCTTGGCGGAGAGGACAATGTTCCTGACGGTGACGACAAGGTTCTTGGCGGTGACGACAAGGTTCCTGGCGGTGAGGACAAGGTTTCTGACGGTGAGGACAGGGTTTCTGACGGTGAGGACAAGGTTTCTGGCTGTGAGAACAAGGTTTTTGGCGGTGAGGACAAGGTTCCTGGCGGTAAGAACAATGTTACTGGCGGTGAGGACAATGTTCCTGGCGGTGAGGACAAGGTTGCTGGCGGTGAGGACAATGTTCCTGACGGTGAGGACAAGGTTACTGCCGGTGAGGGGAAGGTTCTTGGTGGAGAGGACAAGGTTCCTGACGGTGACGACAAGGTTACTGGCGGTGAGGACAATGTTCCTGGCGGTGAGGACAAGGTTACTGGCGGTGAGGACAATGTTCCTGGCGGTGAGGAAAAGGTTACTGGCATTGAGGACAAGCTTCTTGGCGGAGAGGACAATGTTCCTGACGGTGACGACAAGGTTCTTGGCGGTGACGACAAGGTTCCTGGCGGTGAGGACAAGGTTTCTGACGGTGAGGACAGGGTTTCTGACGGTGAGGACAAGGTTTCTGGCTGTGAGAACAAGGTTTTTGGCGGTGAGGACAAGGTTCCTGGCGGTAAGAACAATGTTACTGGCGGTGAGGACAATGTTCCTGGCGGTGAGGACAAGGTTACTGGCGGTGAGGACAATGTTCCTGACGATGAGGACAAGGTTACTGCCGGTGAGGGGAAGGTTCTTGGTGGAGAGGACAAGGTTCCTGACGGTGACGACAAGGTTACTGGCGGTGAGGACAATGTTCCTGACGGTGAGGATAAGCTTCCTGGCGGTGAGGACAAGCTTCCTGGCGGAGAGGACAAGGTTCCTGGCTGTGTGGACAAGGTTCCTGGCGGTGAGGACAAGGTTCCTGGCGGTGAGCACAAGGTTCCTGGCGCTAAGGACAATGTTCCTTGCGTTGAGGACAAGGTTCATGGCGGTGAGGACAAGATTACTGGCGGTGAGGACAATGTTCCTGGCGGTGAGGACAAGTTTACTGGCGGTGAGGACAAGGTACCGGCTGTGACGACAAGGGTCTTGGCGGGACGACAAGGTTCCTGGTGGTGACGACAAGGTTCTTGGCGTTGACGACAAGGTTCCTGGCGATGAGGAGAAGATTCCTGGCGGTGAGGAGAAGATTCCTGGCGGTAAGGACAAGGTTCCTGGCGGTAAGGACAATGTTACTGGCAGTGAGGACAATGTTCCTGGCGGTGAGGACAATGTTCCTGGCGGTGAGGAGAAGGTTCCTGGCGGTGAGGACATGGTTCCTGGCGGTGGGGAGAATGTTCTTGGCGGTGGGGAGAATGTTCTTGGCGGTGAGGAAATTACTAAGTCTTTTTGCCTTGCTCTTAGAGCAAGACACTTTAGGCTTTTTTCTCGTCCGCATACGGCCGGTCAGATCGATCACCTGAACACGAAGTCTCAGCCGGTCTTAACCGGGCTCGATCCTTCCACCGTAGCACCCGCAGGCTTTGAGTGGTACCACTAGACTACTAGGTCTATTGGTGAAAGTTTAATGTTTTCAATCATGGCTAATCCTTTTTCTCTACCCTACAATTAATTAGTACCCCTGACAAAGACCAAAAGTCCTTGTCAGGAAACGAACCTGACATCCCCGACATTTAGCCGAGACCACTACACCATCGTGGCTGTTGCTTATGAGCTAGTACTTTTGATTTTATTTAACCCTTTACTCTCTTAGGTGAGCGCAAAGTTGAAAGGTGTATCATGTCTCGCAACCAACAAATCTCACAATATTATCGTTGCAACAACCATTGCTTGAAGTAGACTCAGGTTCTATTTTTTCCCAAGATTTCGGTAATGCTGCGATCGTATTTCTTAACATTGCGGGACAAGTTCCGAGACAAGTTGCTGAGTGCAACAGAGGAAAGAATGTTGAGCACAGCAGGGATCGAACCTAGGGTTCGAAGCATACGACAACAGGTTCAGTCCACTGCACCATCTTGGCTGTTGATTTTTCACCTGTACTTTTTTGAACAGGTGAAAAACCAACAGCCAAGATGGTGTAGTGGACTGAACCTGTTGTCGTATGCTTGGTAACCTAGGTTCGTTTCCTTTTGAGGTCAATATTCTTTTCGCTGTTGCACTAAGCAACTTGTCTCGGAACTTGTGTTGCAATGTTAAGAAATACGATTTCAGCATTGCATGGGGATGTTACACCAAGCAATGTGTCCCATGCAATGATAATAGTATAAAAACCGCGAGTGCTAACGCCATTCAGTGTATAAACATTGCGAGACAAATAGCGTAGTGTAACAGCGCTTAAAGGGTTAAAAAACAAAAAGTAACAGCTAACAAGCAACAGCCACGGTGGTCTAGTGGTTTCGGCTAAGTGTCGCATGTCGGTGAAGTCAAGTTCGTTTCCTGACAAGGACCTTTTGGTCTTTGTCAGGGGTACTAATTAATTATAGGGTAGAGAAAAAGGATTAGCTATGATAGAAAACATTTAAGCTTTCACCAATAGACCTAGTAGTCTAGTGGTACCACTCAAAGCCTTCGGGTGCTACGGTGGAAGGATCGAGCCCGGTTAAGACCGGCTGAGACTTCGTGCTCAGGTGATCGATCTGACCGGCCGTATGCGGAGTGAAAAGAAAATTCGGGGGTTCTGTTTCCCCGAAAAAAATGAGAAAAAAGCCTAAAGTGTCTTGCTCTAAGAGCAAGGCAAAAAGACTTAGTAATTCTTTTCCCGGCCCCACTCCCCCGCGGGCCTCCCTTTCTTCCTCCCTGCCTTCGCACCCGGACGCTGTCATATTCTAAGTCTACCGCGCATGCGCCAACCATGGTAACTACTAAAGATTAATTTCAGTAGTAGTATCTTCTTCAAACATTTGCCCGGCCGCCATTTTCTTTTGTATTCTTCTTCCGCCATCTTTTTTTCTTGATTATTCTTCCATTCGTCCTCGAACCGGTCCTAATACACGACATTGGCTTTTGCAGGCCGATATCGCTACCACTAGACCATTTGCTCGTTGTTGGAAGCCTATCGCAACTTATTCACCTTAACCTTTTTTCCCTAGCTTGTGTAATTATATTCGACACATTTCAAGTCACAAAATAACTCATGTAGGACTTGAACCACAAGGGTACATTACACAACACGTTGTCTTTACCACTAGACCACTTGCTCGTTGTTGGAAGCCTAGTGCAACTTATTCACCATATTTTTTTCTCTAGCTTATATTATTAAAATTCAACCATTTTTGAATCACAAAATGGCATCAGTAGAACTTGAACCACACCTGGTACATGACACTGCCTGTTGTCTTTACCACTAGACCACTTGCTCGCTGTTGGAATCCTACCGCAACTTATTCACCTTAACCTTTTTTCTCTAGTCTGCGTAATTAATACTCGACACATTTCAAGTCACAAAATGACTTCTGTAGGATTTGAACCACACCTGGTACATGACACAGCCTGTTGTCTTTACCACTAGACCACTTGCCCGCTGTTGGAAGCCTATCGCAACTTATTCACCTTAACCTTTTTTCTCTAGCGTGTGTAATTAATATAAGACACATTTCAAGTCACAAAATGACTTCTGTAGGATTTGAACTACAATGGTACATTACACAACATAATAGTATTTACCACTAGACCACTTGCTCGTTATTGGAAGACTACCGCAACTTATTCACTTTAACCTTTTTTGTCTAGCTTGTGTAATTAATAATCTAAACATTTCAAGTCACAAAATGACTTTTGTAGGACTAGAACCACATTGGCACAGTACACAACATCGTCCTTACCGCTAGACATCTCGCCTCCAAGGTTTTAAGTTGTTTTTTTATAATTAATACATTGTTGAAGCCCAAAATACATTTTGATACAACCAAGAATCTATCCTTGCTTCATACACTACCAACACTTCGTCATTTCCACTAGACTATCTCGCCTACAGCTGCTATAATTTCTTTTTATTGTACATAACTCTTTCACGTCTCGGCTGGAATTAATTACAATTATGCCTGATATTCGGGTCTCTGTAAAGAACGGAAACCGAAACGACCGAACCGGAAACGACCGAAACGGGAAATTCCCGCCTAATTTTCCGCATAAAATTGCCTAAAATTGAAAGCGCGCTCAATTCACTGAGCTGGCTCAATTGCTTTGTGACCTTGTTGAATTTGCAAAATGGACGAAGATGGGAGCGATGTTGAGGAAAATTTCATTCTTTACTGGTTTAATTATTTGTGCATTTCTAGACCTTAGTACGTTAGTCAATAATTCGGTTCAATTATATTAATAGATTGTTGAGACCACTACATGTTGAGACCACTACCTTTTGTAATCAAGGTGGAGTCTGTAGACCCCATCGAGGTACATATTTTACTTTTACATGTATTAAAATTAAATATTTAATTATAATTTTATATAATTAGTCACTGACAAAAAGTGACACTTTCATGATATGGACAATTTTATGAAAGCATAAATTTAAAAGGAGCTAGAATTTAGCAAATATTAAAAGTGTGTCTTTGTTGCACCACGGGTTGCACGTGCTTTATAATAACATTGTCAAATGCCAATGATAACGATGTATAATTTGTCAATTAAACTAGCAATTGTCTGACTTTTTATTTTTTAAGATTATTGACTCGGATTATTTAAAATACAAGTAGGTGCTTTGGGCATTACCAGATCATAAATCACGAAAATTTGTATTGTAAAAAAACTGTATTACCTTTCTGGGTTTGCATTTTCTTTATCCGAATCCGAGTCAATCTTAAAAAGTCAGACAATTGCAAGTTCAATTGACAAATTATACATCGTTATCATTGGCATTTGACAACGTTAAAGCACGTGCAACCCGTGGTGCAACAAAGACACACTTTTAATATTTGCTAAATTCTAGCTCCTTTTAAATTTATGCTTTCATAAAATTGTCCATATCATCAAAGTGTCAGTTTTTGTCAGTGACTAATTATATAAAATTATAATTAAATATTTAATTTTAATACATGTAAAAGTAAAATATGTACCTCGATGGGGTCTACAGACTACACTTTGATTACAAAAGGTAGTGGTTTCAACATGTAGTGGTCTCAACATGTAGTGGTCTCAACAATCTATTAATATAATTGAACAGAATTATTGACTAACGTACTAAGATCTAGAAATGCACAAATAATTAAACCAGTAAAGAATGAAATTTACCTCAACATCGCTCCCATCTTCGTCCATTTTGCAAATTCAACAAGGTCACAAAGCAATTGAGCCAGCTCAGTGAATTGAGCGCGCTTCCAATTTTAGGCAATTTTATGCGGGAAATTAGGCGGGAATTTCCCGTTTCGGTCGTTTCCGGTTTCGGTCGTTTCGGTTTCCGTCCTTTACAGAGACCCCTGATGTTAAAATGTTTTGACAACAACATGGATCGATCCACTGTTCTCCCTCAACCAAGAGACTACCACTCGACTAAAAAGAGGCCAAAAATGGACGAAAAGTTAAGGCTATAGCCTTACTTTTTTGCCATTTTTTGTCTCTTTTTTCAAAAATTGAAAAATTGGCTAAAAATGGACGAAAATTTAAGGCTATAGCCTTACTTTTATTCCCATTTTTTGCCTCTTGTTCAAAAATTGAAAATTCGGCTAAAAATGGACGAAACGTTAAGGCTATAGGCTTACTTTCTTGCCATTTTTTGCCTCTTTTTCGAAAATTGAAAAATCGGCTAAAAATGCACGAAAAGTTAAGGTTATAGCGATACTTTTTTGCCATTTTTTGCCTCTTTTTCAAAAATTGAATAATCGGCTAAAAATGGACGAAACGTTAAGGCTATAGGTTTACATTTTTTCCCATTTTTTGCCTCTTTTTCAAAAATTGAATAATCGGCTTAAAAATGGAGGAAAATTTATGGCTATAGCCTTACTTTTTCCCATTTTTTGCCTCTTTTTCAAAAATTGAAAAATTGGCTATATATAGCCTTACTTTTTGTCCATTTTTAGACAATTTTTCAATTTTTGAAAAAGAGACAAAAAATGGCAAAAAAAAGTAAGGCTATAGGCTTATTTTTTTGCCATTTTTTGCCTCTTTTTCAAAAATTGAAAAATCGACTAAAAATGGACGAAAAGTTAAGGCTATAGCCTTACTTTTTTTTTCATTTTTTGCCTCTTTTTCAAAAATTGAATAATCGGCTAAAAATGGACGAATAGTTTGTTGAAGCCATGACTTTAGAACACCGTATTTGTAATGAAATCACTCTTTATTTTCACGTTTATTACAAATGTAGTTTTGTACAGTAAGTTGCTTTCACGAATCACGAGGAAGTTCAACTAACAACACAACAATCCCATCATGCATTTGTCTCTCAGTATTACGTCATACTAATATTTGGATAACATACAGTTTTATATTGAACTCAACACCCTCACTTGTTGTCAGAATATAAACTAATTACCACAACCGAACACGATACTTTTAAAATTATCTAGTTTACATTTTGTGGGTGGCTTTGTTAGGATATCAGCTACCATATCTTGGGTAGGACAATATACAATATCGATCATGCCTTTAACATACATTTCACGTACAAAGTGGTACTTTATGTCAATATGCTTAGAACGTTGTCTGTTAACTGGGTTCTTACTTTGTGCAATTGCCCCTTGGTTATCAACACTTACCTTCATACTCTGATGTACTTTCTTATACATACCGTTTAACAATTGAGTTAGATACAAACACTCTTGAGCTGTATTTGCTAAAGCTACATATTCAGCTTCGCAAGTGGAAATGGCAACCGTTGGTTGCTTTCTCGACTTCCATGAAATCAGTGGTCCTCCTTCAGTTAGAGTACAACAGTAACCTGTAGTACTTCGCCTGTCTTCCAGGCAAGAGGCCCAATCTGAATCACTATAAGCAGTGAGCTGCAAGCCAGCATCAGATTTCTTAAAGCAGAGTTCATAATCCACGGTACCCTTTAGATACCTTAGGACATGTTTGGCAGCAATTAAATCTCCCGTTCTGGGGTTTGACAGAGTTTGAGACAGTTTGCTTACAATCCAACTTAAATCAGGCCTTGTACAGGTCATGGCATAAATTAGGCTTCCTATCATTTCTCTATACTGTCTGGCGTTGGTCAATTCACGACAGTTAAATTCTAATCGTTGCTCACATGGGGTTAACCTGGGCTTGCAGTCTATCATTCCAAATCTCTCTAGTATTTTAAGAATGAATCTTTTCTGATTAATTTTTATTTCACCCTTGCTTTGCTTAAAATCCATTCCAAGGAAGAAAGTGATTCTACCCAGATCTTTCATCTTAAATTGTGTCTTCATA